TTTTAGTAGAGACGGGGTTTCACCATGTTGACCAGGATGGTCTCGATCTCTTGACCTGGTGATCCACCCGCCTCGGCCTCCCAAAGTGCTGGGATCACAGGCTTGAGCCACCGCGCCCGGCCGGATTGACCTTTTTTGTTTATTAATTGTTTACAAAAGATTAGTAGTTACAAAAGATTAGTGGTTACAAAGGAGTAACATGGGGAGCAATACAATTGAATATCTTGATGTTAGTGATGGTCATGTAACACGACTACCTGAAATAAAATTACACAAATAAGTGCATTTATAACTAGTGAAATCAGGCTGGGCGCTGTAGCTCATACATGTAATCCTATCACTTTGAGAGGCTGAGCAGGCAGATCACCTGAGGTCAGGAGTTAAAGACCAGCCAGACCAACATGGTGAAACCCCTAGTGGCACATGCCTGTAATCCCAGCTACTTGGGAGGCTAAGTCAGGAGAATTGCTTGAACCAGGGAGGTGCAGGCTGCAGTGAACCATGATAGTGCTATTGCACTCCAGCCTGGGCAACAGAGCGAAACTCCATCTCAAAAATAAATAGATAGGTAGGTAGGTAAATAGAAAGAATCACTTGAACCAGGGAGGTGGAGGTTGCAGTGAGCCAAGATGGTGCTACTGCACTCCAGCCCGGGCAACAGAGCGAAACTCCATCTCAAAAATAAATCATTCGATCAATTGATTGATCGTTAGACAGACAGACAGACAGACAGACAGTGAAATCTGAATAAGCTCTATGACGTATTGAAGTCAATTTGTTGATACAATCGTGGTGTGAGATGTTAACATTGGACACTGGAAGAACGGTACATAGGATGTCTCTGTTCATGCCTTTGAAACTTTCTGTGACTGTAATTATTTTTAAATAAGATGTTAAGAAAGAACAGTGGGTATATTTAATGAAACTTTTTTATGAAGCAACTGATGGATTAAAATTAGTTTATAAAAATGGTTTTATGGCTTTGTGCTTTGAAGGTTTTATGGTAGAATGCTTGATTTATCAAGATCTTATATTAAATTTAATCTGTAGTTTGAAGTTGATTTGGTTTGTAAAACAGTTTCCTTTCATCAATTGGTATTCATGTCATTTTTAAATACAGCTTCTACTTCTTTTCTTGCAATGCTAGTCTCAACCGATGCAGTCTCTTCCAGCTAAGAGGCTGTGACTAGCAATGCCACTCCATCTGTTCTCACCAGTCTCTATTAATTAGTCTCTCCTAGTTAGGACGAGTTTGAGACGTATAAGTAATTGGACTAATTTGTCTCACTTAGTTTTGAATTTTCTTTTTCCTTTTAAATCTATCAAAGTCTTATTGAGCCTCAGTGTCTAAAAAATTCATTTAAAATGGTTTCCTGATTAGGGATTCTTTTGTATCAAACCTGTACCAGAAACCTTTCCAGTGGTTATAGGAAGAAATAGAGTTTCTTCATAATAAGGTCGCAGTAATAAAGAAGCCATATGAAATTTTGAATGTTAAGACATTTACCACTTAACTTTTGAGTCTAGTTCTTATGAATATACTGAACTGGCATTTGGTTACATATACAGGCTACATGATTCATTTCCATAAAATCTACCTTCTTTGGGAAATGTAAGTTTTGTCACTTTAATATCTTGGCTGTGTCATTTTTATAGAACCACTGATGGACTCAGACTAACTTAATAGTGTGCTAGTTAGTGATTCTTACAGTAGTGAATAACATCCTCCAATAACGATGGTTCCTTTAGGAGAAAGGATGGATGGAATCCCTTATTGAAGTTCGTATCCTCACATTTTTTAATATAGAGTCCAAAGAGAAATAGGTTCAAAGTTTGAGACAATTCCTTTAAATAGTCACTCGATTTACAAAAAGGAAGCAAGGACCTTCAAATACTTCTTTCCTATTATATATTTCTCATAGTTTCTATACTGACTGTTCTCAGTGTCAAGCATCTCAGCTTTACTCGTTTGTTTTTTAAGGGACGAGGTCTCTCTCAAGCAATCCTCCAGCTTCAGCCTTCTGAGTAGCTGATACTATAGGTGCATATCACTGCACCTGGCTCAGTTTGATTTTTAAAAATGTTTCAGAGCTATTCAAAACTATCTGAAAACCATTCATATTTAAAGATGATAGGTGGACCAAAGCTTTCAAAATTAATTGTAAAGATGTATGACTTTTTAAAACCAGGTCTAGTGTTTGAGTCTGTCCATTAACTTGTTGGTTAATCCAGTAAAACACACAACTTTTACTGGATTAACTTTCCAGAAACTTTCGTATTAACCTTTCATGGGATTTTTCATAAACCAAATAGATTCAAGAGGAATTTTATTCATAATTTTCTCTGTAGATAATAAACTCATTTTACAAACTAAACAGTTTAACAAAAAGAATTATACAAAAGCTTGGGATTCACTGGGTCCAAGTTTAACTACGAGAAGTTTTCTGTTGAAGTGTCTGTCTTAATTGGTTAATATCTCTTATTTTCTTACATTATATATGCATAGTATCTTACAGTGCCACAATTAATGGACTTAGCATGAAGATTCTGAGACTAAGCCATAATTTTACAGACCATCCAGTCTGTCTTAAATTGCTTTTACAGATATTTTACAGAATGATAGTTATCATATTTTACAGAAATAGGAGCTAGGGCTAAGAAAAGTCCCTTTTTCAACATCAAATTTGTGGGGGAGACTCTACTTTAGTCCTAGTTTGGGTACTAATTTCTCACAAGCCATTAGTAACTACCCGCATACAAGGGTGATTTTGGTATTAAAGAGGTGATAAGAATGAAAGAATAGAAGGTATATAAATAAGTCATTTTATTAATCTCGTAGAGTATGAATAAGATGAAACTGTATCCTAAAGATGTAAACTAGGCCAAGATAAAATGTTTTCCATTGATTTGTTCTTTGACTACACTGCTTTCAAAATATTTTTTTATCCTGGCCTTTTTTCTAAAAGAAATCTAACTCTGTATCCTCTCTTTTTACCTTATTATAAAGAAGAACACAGATGGCTGTCATCTTTTCTTTAATAATCTTTCCCTCTTCCCCACTCTCATCTAAGTTTAAATAAAATTGCAGCTGTAGAAGTTGTAAAATTCTCCAGCACCTAAGGGAATCACTGAAGGAATGTGCCAGACATTTTACACTAGATTTATGTCAGTGAGATGGGGGAAAAGCTAAATTGAGTGTTTTTTCATTTTGCTTTAGCTGAGAAGAGATGGACCCTAGAAGGCAATCATTACATCATCATTTAATAAATAACCTCATAATCAGGCTAACAGATTATTGTTTTCAAACAAATTCTAACAGTTTGCTTCTTTAAATGGATACTGAGAGTACTATGGAATTTTAAAGTTAAATACAACTTTATATTCTATATAAACTTTGCTAATTATCAAAAAACAAAAAAAATGCCAAAGCACCCCTATGAAGATTGATTAGGCAACTTTATGCTGACAGAAGGCCTTCGCCAAAGATTGTCTAAGAATAAAAAAAATTAACATCCTTTGATCTGATAGTCCCAGTTCTGAGAATTCACCCTAAGCAAAAAATACAGATGAAAGAGAAAGGATTTGCAGTGTTACTTCTAATAGCAAGAAGTAGGGAATATAACCTAAATATGAAAGATAAAGAAAATTCTGAAATGCTTAAAGATTTCTCTGGAAAAAAATTCATATTTTTATATGATAAATATCAAGACTAAAAGATTACGAAAAATAAAATTGTTTAAATTTTAAACATATTAAACAATTATATCTTCACATTCAAATGTATGTAAATGTATGCATGCATGTGAGTAAAAAAATAATCAAAGAGAAACAGCAGTAAATTGTTGGGTTACTAAAGATTAGGCTATCTGTTTATAGCAGTTTTAAAAATAATGTGTGCCTGTTAGATCAAATTTAAATTCTTTAGGAATAAATTAATACATTCAAACTTTCAAGTTGTAATAATTATTGGAAGTATTTTCACTTTTCATTTCAAGATTAATTGGATAGGTTAGGGCTTTGGTCTTCATTAGGGAAATTAGAACCTGCATGTGTTTATTTATTCTTCCCATCTGATATACCAGGTCTTTTATACCTGTTATGCATACCCAACAAATACATTTGAT